ATAATGTGCTTGATACATAGAAGTGCCAGGTAAGTGTTAATTGTGAATATTGTTGTTTTCTTCTTTTTACCTTAGTATCATTAGTATTATTTGTTACCATGCAAATTTCAATAGGAATCTAATGATACAATTAGATAACTGAGACATGAAACATTTATCCTAGACTTATTAGTATCAAATTTATTTTATTTTGAGACAAACTTCCCTTCTTTTCAGGCAGCATGTATTAGGGTAACTAATTAAATCTTGCCTTTATCATTATCTTCCCCTATGGTCAACTATCCTGAATAAGTTTTCTTTTTCCTGAGAGGTTCTCACTAAAATGGCCTTGTCTTTGAGCTTGTTTCTATTTACTTCAAGGTGTTCATTTTCAGAGATTTCAGACAAGATTCATTTTTTGTGGAACTTTAAAGTAGGTTGGGAAGAAAACAATTAAAATGCAGATTTGCATAGAAGGTAGATACAGAAATAAAAGTAAAATCAAAAAGTCTTTTCATGACACCCTTTGTAAATCCTGCAGATGGTCCCAAAATTTGTCTCTAAGCTTTCTTTTCAGTTGGGCTGTTTTTACGAGCATATGTGTGTATTATAACTTTTAATTTCGTTCTGTTCTCCTCAAGTAAGAGACAACCAGTTCAGCAGTTCCCGATGTAGAAAATTGTGTAGATACACTATTGCAGCTTTTGCCAGGTACCGAGAAAAGCCTGGTGACAAAGTGTCGGACAAGGTGGAAGCATTTTCACAAAACTTGTTGTTTGTTAGCTGTTTTATTGAAGACAACAAATAGAGGCTCTGTAAGTATTAATCAGTTACTTTCTTTGAGGTTATTTTTACCGGTTCTTAGGTTTAAGTCTTTTATACTTTTCCTTTAGTAGCTATCACATCTAAATTAGGGTTTTGTATGTATTCAAACCTGCTTTTTGTGCTGATATATGAGTTGTTGTTTTTCTTTTTTTGTGTGTGAGGAAGATCAGCCCTGAGCTCACATTCGATGCCAATCCTCCTCTTTTTGCTGAGGAAGACCGGCCCTGGGCTGACATCCGTGCCCATCTTCCTCTACTTGATATGGGCTGCCACCACAGCACGGCTTGACAAGCAGTGCGTTCGTGAGCACCCGGGATTCGAACCTGTGATCCCTAGGCCGCTGCAGTGGAGCACCCGCACTTAACTGCTATGCCGCCAGGCAATTCCAAGTTGTTTCTTATGTGTTAAAGAAACTGAATTATAGAAATACAATCTATCATAGCCATATGAGTAACCATTTCCCGTTTACCTGAGGGAAGTAACGACTTATCTAGCAAGGTAGAAACCAGATATGTGTGACTCCTCCTCCTCTTGCTGTGACCATAAGCATATTTCCAGCTTTCCTATGGTGAGACCTCTGCGCTATTCTCTCTCGGTGTCACAGTCAATGCAGGGGTGGTCACAGGCTGTGATAGGATGTGGCCTTTATCCTGAGAACACTAGGAAACCACTCAAGGAATTTAAGCATGGGAAGATGTTATAGTCTAACTTTTAACATCAGTCTGGCTGGTGTTTGAAGGATGGATTGGGGAGAGCATGTGTGGATGTAGGGAGACCTTTACGGGGGAGGCAGGTGTAGATCTTCCGTGGTCCAGGCAGGAGATGATACTTGACCTGGGGTTGTATCAGTGAGAGGGAAGTGGATAACCGTGGAATCTTTAAAGAGAAACAATTCACAGAACTTGGTAACTGGATGTAATAGGTATATTGACTGTAATATTGCCTTTTAATTCATATGGAGTTAAGTGTACAATTTTTGAATATTTGTCTTCTTTATACTTGTCTTACCAATTAGTTCGTAATTTAAACCAATCTAACTGCTGAACTTGGAGAGCTTGGCTTTTGATTGTTAAAAGCTCCTAAGTTTACTGCCTAGTGTTTATTCATTATGATTGCTTTTGCTATCATAGAAGAGACAGAAAATTAAATTCTTTGGGGGCTGGGTGTGTGGCATGGTGGTGAAGTTCGCTTCAATGGCCCAGGATTCACAGGTTTGGATCCCAGGCACGGACCCATGCACCACTCATCAAGCTATGCTGCGGAGGTATCCCATGTACAAAATAGAGGAAGATGGGCACAGATGTTAGCTCAGGCCCAATCTTCCTCACACACACACACACACACACACTGAAAAATTAATTTCTATCAATTTTAATAAATGTACATTTTCTTTTTTAGGATGTTTGTAGTAGGTCCAAAATTGTTGACTGTATTTATAGTTTCTACAGACTTACAGCTTGTAAACATAAAATGAATACTGAAAGAATAGTTTATAAACAAATGACAGATTCTTCTATCAGCATTCCCTTTATTCCAGAAACAACCGTAAAAGCCAGAGTAGTTTCAAGGTAAGTATTAAATGCATTCTATTTTATGTCACCACTCATTTTGTGTCACCACTCATTCATTTAGCAAACATTTATTAAGTACGTACTATAAGCAAGACATTGTGCTTGACAATGGAGAAACAACCTACGAACAAGAATGGAATCTTTGATAAATCTGAGGGAGATAATCTCAACAAATAATGAAGTAATAACCCTATAGATTTGGGTATTTAATAGTTATTCAATAAATTCCTTGTATTAAAGAGTTAAGTGCTAAGGCTAATAATTATCTTTTTATAAGCTTTACTCGACAAATTTTCCTTATTTCCTGCGTGTAGGACAAGCTACGCTGTTTGAGAGCTGCCCAAAATCCCTCTTGGTGAAAATATCAACCTCTAACTCCTCCTGGGATCACCCTAATACTTGAAATATCTCCTTCTAGAGAAGTTCTCTGAGACATTGTGTGAGTTTCCTAGAGCTGCCGTAACAAATTACTACAAACTTAGTGGCCTTAACCGACAGTAACTTGTTCTCGCACAGCTCCTGAAAGCAGAAGTTCAAAGTCAAGGACACAGAGGGGCCTCTCGTTCTCTGAAGGCTCCAGGGTGGAATCCCTCCCTGACTCTTCCAGCTTCTGGTGACTCGAGGTGTCCCTGGCTTGCTGCTGTCCAGCTCCCTTCTCTGCCTCTGTCTACACATGGGCTTCTCCTCCTCCTTCTCCTGTGTCTCTTGTGGGACATCTGTTGGTGGACATGGGGCCAGTCTGTGCAGTACAGGATGATCTTATCTCCTGGTGCACAAGACCATCCAAATAGCGTTCTTGTCATAAAATCAAACCTGAAGCACATGAAGCCTTTCTGCAGAGCTCCAGGCATGACCCACAGACCAGTACAGACGGCAAGCTCTGTCACTGCTCTGTGGATAAAAGTTCAGAAGTTTAGAGTCAGCACTTAGAAACTTACATAGTAATTTAACCTTGCTATTCCATAGTTTTTATGTCAAGTTTATTGTGATATAATTTACACACAGTCACATTCATCCTTTTATTAGTGTAATATTCAGTGAATTCTCTTATGACAAAAGTTGGCCTTCTATTGTAGAGAAATCCAGCAACATTCTTCTGTTAGATGATATAAATTAGAATTACAACACTGATTTGAGACACTAACTTGTGGACCAGCCTCAGTGGCCTAGTGTTTGAGTTCAGTGCACTTGCTTCGGCAGCCTGGGTTTGGTTCCCAAGCATGGACCTACACCACTCATCTGTCAATCACCAATCTGTGGTGGTGGCTCACATGCAAAAAGAGGAAGATTGGCAGTGGATGTTAGCTCAGGGTGAATCTTCCTCAGCAAAAAAGAACAAAAGAAAAGACAAATTTGTTTTTAATCATGAATTCATTTATGGTCCAAAATTTATAACATTAGGTCTTCAGCTGTCACTGACTAGGTGCCTCGAGAAAGTCAAAGGTGGGTTTGGAAGCTATTAAGTGTTTTTCCAATTTGTTTCTTTTCCTTTTGTATGTTCGGGAGGTATAACCACCAACCATCCTAAGACGACCAACCCTCACCACAAGAGCTATGCTCATGACCTTTGCCATATTTTGAATACAAGGATCTCTCCAGGAGGAGCTTAGGCCTCATTATGTGGAAACTTGTTTTCCAACTGAGCCTGTGCAAGTGAATAGCCACCTCTCCCTTTTGAATATTCATTCGCCAACCAAAATAAAATTTCCTGCTTCCCTTTGATCGGGTCGCCATGACCTTGGAAATGATTCCTCATGGCCTCCTATTTGCTAGAAATACACTTTACTTCGTGAGACAACTTCCAGTGGTGTAGAGTCTTATTTACGCACCAGGAGGAGAGCCCACTTGGTTCAGTAATACAGCTATGTCTTTACATTTTGCGCAGGCAGTAAAATTTTATTCAAATAGCTAATTTAACATTTTCTGATTTTACCTTATTAACAAAAAGTTTTAATTGATTTTGATGGACTAAATTAACTCATGATGTTTAATTTCCTTCCTTCCTCCTTCCCTCAATTCCTCCCTCTCTCTCTGCCTATCTGTCTCTCCTCCCTCCTCTTCTCCCTCCTCCCTTTCTGTGGCTCAGCAATTCTCTACTAGTTACAAATTCCTAGTAGAGACAGTGTACTATTTCTTGATCTGGGTTACATAGCAGTTTGCTTTATAATTACTCATAATTATAAACTTTATAATAGTTGTAAATTGGCTTTGTGCATGCATATTTCACAGTATAACATAAAATAATCTGCTTGAAATTTATTAATGAGGACTATTTCTGCATATGATTTTTATTTATGACTGGTACATTTTAATATTAATTATGTTTTAAAAGCTATTATTAAAAGCATATGAATGAATAGATTCTTTTTTTTCTTTTGATAAAGTTGGGTTTTTGAGGTAAAATTAACCAACAGTGTAAATGCGCCCTTGTGTAGGTATGTAGTTCAGTGAGTTTCAACCAATTTACACAGATGTGAAACCACTACCACTGAGATGAGATATTTCTATCACACCAGAGTTCCCTTTGCCCCTTTGCAGTCAGTTCTCTCCCTTTAACCACTAGACACTGGCAACTGCTGGTCTGATTTTAGTACTTTTAGTTTTGAGTTTCTACATTGTCACATAAATAGAATCACATGGTATGTAGCTTTCTGTGATTGGATTCTTTATTTAACTTAAGGCTTTTGAGATTTATCCATGTTGATGCAGGGATTAGAATTTCATTCTCCTTTATCACAGAGTATGATTCCATTGTATGTCTATACCACACTTTGCTTGACCACTGACCAGTGGATAGATATTTGGATTTTTAAGAGGAAAGAATAAGAAGGTGGGGATGCACATAGTAGAAGGGATTTGTGTGAGAAAGATGTATGAGCTTCGCTCTGATGGACTGAAGTATGAGCTCATAAACATTAGCTCAGAAGCAGATCAGGGAGGGTGTGGAGGGGACATCTGAAAAGAAGAAGGGAATAACATTGTCACCTTGGGGAAAGAGAAAGGAAGCATATTAGGCAATGTCAAGTGCCCATTTTGATTTGCAATTATGGGCATAAAATCAGTCAGTCCGGTTCTGTAACTTTTCTTTCACAATGTCCAGCTGTACAGGAATGAAGAAGGGAGATATTTGGATTTAACTTGGAGTCCAAATAGAACTTTCAATAGGAAAGAGAAACAGTAGAGTAAATGGCACTTGCAAAGGGGATTCTATTGATGGACCTAAGCTAGCCAAGGTGTGAAGTGAGAAAAGCATTCCGGTGGGTCATGGGTACATGTTGAGGTCGAGTGAATGGAGATCTCAGTGAGGTGGAAGCATATGTGCAGTGGACGTATTAAGTCAAATGATGAGGATGAATCAGAAGTGGTGGTTGGGGAATGGAAGTCTCCAACTGAGACGTCAGGGGGGGCACTT